GGGCACCGACTCAGGGTGCAACGAGTACATGATCCTTCTAGGTGTGGCTCTAGACATGATTTGATATGAGAACATGTGCTTGTTTTGCATCAAGTGAAGGCCTACAAAGCTTACCATTAAGATAGACGAATCTGATAATGCATAATGAATGATATATAAACAAAGCTGGAATTTCATAATATTCATGATTAAAATGCAAAGGCTGGTCTAAAATTAAGACCCTAGACATCGCAGGCACCGGCCCAAAGGACCATCCATACAATGCATGGACAGAGAACGTGTATCAACCAAAGCCCAACTTTTTCAAGCCGCACCCGTCTTTGCAGCTAGCGAGCCGGTGCCACGCGAAGAGAAAATACCCATGATTCCAAAAACGACATAGAACAGAGCCAACGGATACGCCACGAGACCCCTCATGCCACTCATGCGCGCCACAGCACAGAACATTCCTGACGAACTGTATGTGCACCAGCCAACAGCGGCAATGGTCAGGAGATAGCCGAACATGGTGTCCATGGGAATCAGGATACCAATGAGGCTGGTAAGCACCAAAGGAAGGAAACAGTAGCCCAACACGCTAGCCGAGCGAGGGAAGGTTAGAGTGGCAGAGAAATGGCCCGCGGCCGAGGCACCGGACATGGAGGGTTTGTGGTGGGGGTTGTAGTTGGTAGGGTCGGCGGCGTTGGGAGTTGGGACAGTGTCGAGAGCGGGAGACATGAGGCTAAGGATCAGATGCAAAGCGACGGTACCGAACACGGCGACGCCGTAGATATAGCCGTAGAACACTTTTCCTGAGAGGAGGAGGAAAGTGCCGTATAAGACAATGTAGAGCAGAGCTCCGTAGAGGTCGCTATCGTCCATAAGATGATCATCGATAGAGGCGAACGGATTCAGAACAGTCAGAGTCTAGAGAATGAAACTGTTAGCATCCAACATGGTATTCACTGTCGACCTGAACTACAATTAAGATTAAACCCGGGGTGAAAAACCAAAAAACAAAAACAAGCCACCCGCAAGACCCAGAACCCCACGTCTCCCGAACGCACGTAATATAAAATCAACCCACACTAACCTTGGTCCGGATATGTTCAAAATTGACACCCAACTCCTCAAGCAACGGTGGTTCACCATCGTACCCCTCCGTACCAAACGCAGCCAACCAACCCGTCCTCAACCCGCCCTGTTCGCCCATCCGTCCACTGACGCCAGCGGCCGGGGACCCGAAACCCCCATACCCACTACCAGCAGGATAAGCCTGCGCAGAGGGATTATGAGCTCCACTAAAGCCGGCGCTATAAGATGCTTGTGAAGGGGTTGTGTGACCGGAAACCGAGGAGTAGGACGAGGGGAAGAACTGGAGATTCTGCGGTGCGGAGCCCTGGGGGGCGTAGCCCTGCTGTTGTGGATAGTATTGGGCCATTGCCGCGACTGACGGCGTGAAGAGCGGAAAATCGCTGGTTTTGGTTTGAATGTAGGACGTGCTTGGAGTTCCTGGATAGTAGCGATTGGCTAAGATGTAGATTGTTGTAGAGCTTCGAAGCTCCAAATGGCCTCAATAATGGGGATGACTAAGCGTCTAATCGGCCCGGGGCCCGGGCCCAACCAAGCTCAACTGCACATTGTATAGTCTGACAGAGGATGTCTTGTTTTTTCTTTTTTTTTTTTTGTATTATAATGTTAACATTAATCTGAACTTGATTGTAATTGGTAAAACAATGTATACGGTATAGTTGAATCCGCAAGAAATCTACTTATCAATGTTTACAGGAAATTGATACCGATGCCGAGCTGGAGCCCTTTGCGGCCTTCTTCGCCCTTTCGCAACGCCAGAGGCAAGGAAAAGTTAAGTTCGAAGCGAGCGACAGGGTGGGCATACACAATACCGAAGCCAGCTGCGACACTAGGCAGTCCGTTTTGTAGTTCAGAGAGAGTTGACACCAGGGCATCCTGCACCTCACCATTAGTAGTAGGAGTGGCTTTCTGTGAGGTTTGCAGAGAAAGCAAGCGGCCACCGTTCAAAAAGGCCTGGAACCGCACGGGCTTCTCAGCACCAAGGCGGGGAAGCGGAAACAGCAGATTGGCGCTTCCGGCGGCATACACATCACCGCCTAGTGAATCAACGCCCTCACGAGGACCAAGACCGCAGAGGCGGAATCCACGGACATCAGTAGGTCCTCCAAGCTGGAAGCGGTCATTGACACGGGAAAGTTGAGGGCGGGGATTGGACTCCAGTCCAAGAGGGTAGAGAAGACCGGCACGGAATCCAGTGGTAAGGCTGACGCCGCTGTCACCCTTGATTCCTGGGATCGGAATAGGGATGGCACCCTGTGTCTCAATTTCCGACTTCCAGAACGAGACATCACCCTTGAGCGGGCCAAATCCGGCCAGCTCGTTGAAGGCCTTGGCATAGTAACCACGAGATGGCAGGAGGGCATTATCCCGCTGGTCATTAACCCAGCTATGAAAGATGCTGCTCTTCACGCTGTCACCTGCATCTGCACGGACGGTAGGGGAAGCGTTCTCCGCAAGGCCGGTAAGCTGTCTCCAGAAACCGTTGTATCCAAATTCGTGACGGTGGCCTGATTTGGACATCCATCGGAGCTTGCTCCAGCCACCCTTGAGAACTTCCTCGTGGCTTGCCCAGGACTTCTGGGTGGAGCTTGCAATACCGCCAATTTCGAGGCGGAAATCGGGATCACCCAAGATGGGAGTCTCGAATGCAGCCTGGTAAGCGGACCGTGTCCGGGTACCGAGCGAAGCGTTCAAGTTCAAAGTCTCGGCGCCACCAAAGACATTGCGCCAGAGAAGATTACCGTAGGCTGAGCCCTCAGTGTTACCCAAGTCCGTTCCAGTCTTCATCAGCACGCGGGACTTCTCTCGCGTCGCCAGATGGACATCGATGTTGCGCATGCCATCTTGGCCTTGCGACTCGTCCAAGTAGACCGAAATAGGCTGGTGGAATAGATCTGAGATTATGTTAGTAGACACCCATGATTAATATTATTCTGTCATCTCATACCGAAACGTCCAAGTTTATCTGCGGTAGCCGACACTTCCCGCAACGCTTCGGACAGTGTGTACGGCCGACCCTTGTTTGCACTCAAAAGCGGGCTCAAGTTGCGCTCAAGGAAGCCTCGTCGAGTATGAGGGGCACTGGTGACTTGAACAGAGGATATGGTGCAGGGCAAGGTCGAGTTTTCGTCGATCTAATAGATATCGCGATCAGCCGGGGAACTCCGCAAGTAAACGCGAATTGCTTGTCATCGGCTTCTAGAATTTGGAGACCATACCAATTCAGCAAGTCGGTTCTGGGCTTTTTGGTAAATAGCTTGCATGCGCTCATTCACGGCCTGCTGTTGCTCTTCCAAGACCTTGGGGTCTGCTCGCTGTTGCAAACGCTCGAAGACCTAGAAGCGGTTAGAGGTTAGTAGAGGGTCAGCTAAACATTTTAGGCAGCTCGTGAGCTGCCTGAGATATGCACTAACGCTTTCGTCTCCTTCAGCAAAGGAGGAAGACATTTTTGCGGCTGCAATGGCCAGAACTTCCGGCCTCCGGGGAACAGATCGGGGTGCTCGTGCCGAACCCGCAAGATGTGGAACCATCACGTGACCCGGGCGAGCGTGAGCGCCTAATAGCGACAATCCACCTTTGACCTCCGCAACTTTTACTATTCAAGTTCTTCCCTCGGTTTCGCTTTCCCAGAGTGCTCATAAAGTGCTGCTTTGTCTTGTTTTGATTTGCATAATCTCTCGCTTCTATTCATATCACCAAAGATGGCGACGAAAGCGGCTTTCAAACGGGTAAGTGGCCAGACCTCAGGCCAATCGGGTTATCCATGGATAGTGTCTAACAATAGTTACTATAGCTCACTCGCGAATACCAAAATATCCAAAAAGATCCCACACCATTTATTGTGACCCATCCATCCGAGACTAATATCCTTGAGTAAGTGATATACATCCCCTCGCATTGCCGCGTTGCCGCAGTACCACAGAACCCCGAAGCTAACCTGCGCTAGGTGGCATTACATCCTCACTGGACCTCCGGGAACCCCTTATGAAAATGGACAGTACTGGGGTACATTGATCTTCCCTCCAGAGTACCCATTCGCTCCTCCCGCCATCCGCATGCACACACCCAGCGGCCGATTCCAGCCTTCCACTCGACTCTGTCTAAGCATCAGTGACTTCCACCCGAAATCCTTCAACCCGGCCTGGGAAGTCTCGACCATTCTCATCGGTCTTCTCTCTTTCATGACCAGTGAAGAGATGACCACGGGAAGTGTTAGTGGTTCAGAAAGTGAGCGCAGAGTGCTTGCCGCGCGATCTCGGTGGTGGAACTCGACCGGAGGAGGTTCTCATGTTAGCGCCACTGCCGGCGTCACTCGAACTTCCAAGGGTATCAACAATGTCAAGGCCGGAGATGGAGGCTTGAAGTTCCGCACAGAATGGCCTGAACTCGACCAGGAAAACTGGGCTTGGATGAAAGAGCATCGCATCGATTCCGCCACCGGCCAGATTTTGCCTGACCCCGATGCGCCCACCAAGTGTTCCCCAGAGACAAGTGCTTTACGTCGACGCCCCAACGGCAGTGCTTCTGGGATCGGATCTGTCGTGGATGGTGGACACGTTGCGAGAGAGGCTGGTCAAGGCTGGGCTGGACGACACCGAGTCTGGATATGTGTTGCTGTCTTCTTTGGCTATGCCCTGATCTCACGACTATTGAGTGATATGCGAGCATGAGACTGAACTAGTTTTTTTTTTATTATGTTAGAATACCCTTTGTCTTCATGTTTGATCCTAGGCTTTTTTTTTTTTTTTGTTGTTGTCCCTGTCCTTAGCGGGTTCGCAAGCATTATTTTGGGTGCCATGGGAAAGGGGGTTTTTTTTTTCTCTCCAAGACAATGAATTCCAGAGATTTATTGAATACTTGAAGAACCTTTCCAAATAACAGGTTACACCATTGAGCACCGGGTCATCCCAGACGATTCACGCTGAATAGGGCTTGTGCTCGCCCCCCCGCACCGGCAACATTGGCAACGTAACTACACTCCTTTTCTCTTCTAAATCCGCCTTCACCCAACTGCATAGCCTGCTATCCACTTCTTTATTGGTTTGTCTTCTGTGTTTTGCCTCTTTTCCTTTGCATTCCGAACTTGCCTTGGCCTTCGGATGGATCATCTGCAGTCTTTTACCTTTGGTTCGCCTCGGCATACCCATTCAGGTTAGTGCTTTCTGGTCTTGATATACCTTGATATTGGGAAATATGGCCTTACTGAACCCTGGATCCTGTTGGCCTTTTTTGCGGAGGATCTTTCGCCTCTTTTTGAGGTCAAATTCACATCCATTTTGAGTGATATGGCTCTTTGTTTCCTATTTGTCTATGGATTTCCCCTTCAGTCAGCAGCGTCAGAGTTGCACCAAAAGAGAAACCCCCTTGATGGTGAAGAACTTGGACTGAAGTACCCGACTAGAACCCAAGGCCAAACCTGCGCCGCTGGATCGGCCTTCCTTTACATTCATCGATCACGACGATGACTTGACCTCCAAGAGGATTAAAGATGTCAATGCACGCAAGGCTATTCGCTCTCATGTTATGCGCGATGTACGCCGACGTGAGAGACTTGCTGGGTTGAAACGAACATCCAGACAGAACCGCGGGCAATCCGATACTTCCAAGGCTGCCGTTGATGAATTAGATGAACAAAGACTAGTGTTGAGGGCCTCATCCCAGTCTTCTGCTGCATCTTCCCTACTGGACACAGATACCGGAGACGGTTTTGCCTCAATTTATCGTGGGCGTCCTGTCAGGTGGTGTGCTGGCTATCCTTTGCCTCTCCATTCAAATCCTAACCCACCTACATCATGGTTTCTTGATCCTTTTTTTACGCTGCCCGGTACCAGTGAGCTCCCGTCAATGGTGGCACATTTGGTGTACTACTGTAAGTATTGTTCATGTCAATGTTGCCTATTGTTCTGCTCATTTTAGCTGTCCATACTACATGCGCCTCCCCAGAACTAGAGCTAACTACAGGACGAAGGGAAAACCATATTCGTACCGATGACTTTTCCGAACACAAGCAAAGATTCAAATCAAGAGATGGAATTAATGGTTCGATCCTCATTCTCGGATCCGGGCAGTTTCTTTGGGCTGATGAGCATGTGCGCTGCACATCGAGCCGTTCTCGCCAGCCAGCGATCGGGTAATTGGGACTCAGTCCTTACCAACGACCCTGACTATTGTATGATGAGAGCAAAGTCCATTCAAGAGATGAGCGCAAAAGTACGGGATCCAAGTCGCAGACTCAGCAATGAGGCGTTTGATACCATCATCAATCTCCTCACTGGTTCGGTATGGATTCTGTTCGTGAATGTCGGGTTGCAGTATTGCAGTGCTAAAACCCCACAGCTGATTATCGGAGAGTTCAGCGAGGTCCATACTCACCTAACTGGACTTAAAAGTATGGTTGATCTTCGGGGTGGAATAACAGATGAGAGTATTCGTTCTTCTTCTATGTTGTCTGCCATCATCACGTACGTGTGTTTCCGGCTCACCTCTCTACCGATTTCCACTCACCGTCGATGAAACAGAACCGACATCAAAGCCGCCTCGGGCCTAATGACCAAACCCGTTTTTCCATTAACTTGGGATGCACAGCCAATCCCTTCGGAAATCCAACAGCGAATCAGACCACTGACTTCGTCTCCTCTCAACAGACTAGGCACGGGGTTTTATGCCAATACATTTCTCAGTCCCGCCTTATTGCAGATTATAAGTGTGCTTCGTGACATGGTATTCTTTAGCATCACTTATCAGACAAATCCCACGGTCATTAAGCCTGGTGACCAAGACTTTTTCCGCATTCTCAACTGCGAAGCAGAGCATCAACTTCTCAGCTACATCTACAGCGAAGGCTCCCCCAACCCGGAGCGCAATCTTCATCCGATTGAAGCAGTCACTCGAGTGGCTTTTATTTGTTATCTCAATCATTTCTTGATTGTCTCGCCTTCATCGTCTGGATTGGGTCGAGCCCTTACGAAACATCTCAAGACAGCGTTGGATGGCTGCAAATTGCCCCTCCTTGTGGGATTACCAAATAAAAACTTTGGACTCTATGTTTGGGCGTTATTCGTCGGAGCCCAAGGTGCGCTGGGACAACCTCAGAGACAATGGTTTGTGGAGCGGCTGGCCCGTGTCGCAATGATATGTGGATGGCAGTCGTGGGAGCAAATTTCGAAACTTATGGCTGAATTTTTCTTTGTTGTAACTTTGGATAGCTTGAATTGGCGCTCTATCTGGGATGAAGCGATGACTGGGTTTGTTATATCCGAATCGGAGGAACTGGAATTCTCATCTCTTCTTGGAACGGGTGCACTCTCCCTTACTTAGCTCTCAATTATGGGCACTTGTACAATTTGCACAAAACCAGCAGTAATAGTAATAGAAAGCAAAAGAAAGCAAAAGAGATAGGTCTCATGGAGTATTGGAGTATATAAATATGTATTGAAAAGATATAAAGCCCTCCAGAACTATAGATGGGTGACTTGTTTACATTTCACCGCTTTAGGCACGGCCTATCACGTGGCAGCTTTATGTCATCAAAAAAAAAGTCCGCTTTCTCCGGTCTTTTATCGCGTTCGCTTTCGCCTTGGATCTTACCATAAAATTTCTTTGCTTCTTTGCCTCATAGTTCAAAATGGGTTGGTTCTGGGCAGACACCCCTCAGACTTCCGCAGTCTCGATCCCACATGCATCCTCAACCGCATCTCCTCCAGTTCGTTTTGCGCATTCTGTACAGCTTTGATCATCTAGACTGACTCTTATCTAAAGCCGGGATGTCCGATGCATAAATCAGGCTCGAAGCCCTCACCCTCCCCAGTACCTGCTGCTGAACTCCCCAGCAGCTGCCCCATGAAATCGAAAGATTCTCCATTCTATTCGGCCCCACAATCAACACCGGCGCAAACACCGCAGCCACCCACCGACACCGCGGCGCAGCCCTCAACCCTCTCAAAGCTTAATCCTCTGAACTACATGTTCTCGGCTATATCCCAAGAGCGCGCCGCTAATCAAACTGTTGACCTTCCTGTTGAGCGCGAAGGCTCTTCGATCCCAAGGGGCGACGGCCAAGGCAACTGGGAGTATCCGTCTCCGCAACAAATGTACAACGCCATGTTGCGCAAAGGACACACAGACACACCCCAGGATGCAGTGGAGTCGATGGTTGCAGTGCACAACTTCCTGAACGAAGGTGCCTGGGACGAAATTGTGGGATGGGAGCGCGTATTCGCCAAGGGTCTCAAGGCTGGATGGGAACACTGCCGCCGCGGCGAGGAAAACCTGAGCATGGACTTGACCTATGCAGATGAGAATGGTAAATTCGATTTGACCTCCGAGCCTCGTCTATTACGGTTCCAAGGTCGGCCGCAAGAGTGGTCACCTAAGGCACAGATATACCAGGCACTGAGCTGGGCGTACCCAAGCAAGTTTGAGTAAGGACTGTCTTCGCGGTATTTAGAAGAAAATTACTGACTCCAATTCCAACAGGACAAGCCCTCCATTTGACCGTCACGATTGGTATGTCATCCGCCAGACACCTTGGGGCCCGAAGGAAGTTCGATACGTGATCGATTACTACTCTGGGGATCCAGATCCCCACGGACTGCCTGTCTTCCACCTTGATATCCGCCCTGCTTTAGATACACCGACGGCTGCTGTTGAGCGTTTAATGAGGTGGGGAGGTGATGTCTGGTGGAGGGCTAGCGGCGCAGCTGTTCGTGAACAGGCCTCGCGCTAAGAGTGCTTTGACAGCTGCAACAACCAGGCTGTCTGCTTCTCTCCACTCTGTAATTATTCGAAGGCATGGCGCTGGCGTCCCATTGCTTATCTTCGCTTGTGCTTGTACGATGTTTATCTTCTTCTCTGTCTTATATCGCAACCTCGATCTTTTTCTGTTAGTCTATGAACATAGACATGATGATAGCTTTGCATTAATTTTACCTTTTCCCCAAACCTCAGATGTTTCACGTTTTACTCGTAGATTTCTTTAAAGATACGTACGTGTATTTCTTTAAATCATCATCATCATTATCAAAAAAAAAAAAAAGAAAAGAAGAGGGTGTTGTTGTCTTTTTATCATTCAACGGGCATGCCATCTAAGCTTTCATATCAACAGTGAAGAATCGGGCGTGTATTGTACAAAAAATAATAATAATAAAGTTGCGAATGTCTTATATATTAGGGGACAGTTGGTCGTACTTGACGCAATGCTCAACACTCTCGACGCTGGCTTGCAGCATTCCACGAGCCTCCAGGCCGACCCAAACCCAGAGCATTGAGTAGTCGCCCGAGCGCACGGTCTCCAAGAATGAACTTCCAGATCCCAACTGCCGTAGAATAGGAAGTGCACTAGACAAAGTCAGCTTCAGTTGAACAAATCAAGCCTCGTGGGGAGAACTCACCTCTTGAACAGATCTAGGTTGGGGTTCAAACTACGTCCTATTCCTTCAAGCAGTAGACATGAAATGACGACGTTGACAAAATCCCCTTCAAACCGAACGTGGTGCCCGCGGACCATAGTCAATACCTCACTGAGGATATCGCCAATCTTGACACTCCCTAGAGCAAAGGTTCGAGACTTGATACTCAGAACCAAATGCTGCATTTTCAGGGCAAATATCTCTGGGTCAATAACCTCCTCCGGTGTTCGGCATCGCTCGACCATAAGTTGACCAGCCCGGTATCCGTCAAATTCAGCGATAGCTCGAAAGAGGTCCAGGAAGTTCCGCCGATTGGTCTCATTTAGCTGAGTGACAAGCCCAGTGTCGATGAATATCAATTGCGGTCGATACCCCTCGTCATGGAGCTGGGAAAGAGCGATGTTCCAATCATCGGTGTCATTAAGGCTCGGACGTAACCGCTCGAGGACTGCCTCTGTCACATCAACTTCGGCCCGCGTCGGGGCATTGAAAGCACGCGAATGCTTGCCAAGGGAGAGGTCCAGCTCGCTAGGCCGGTAGAAACGAACCATGATGTTCCCCGGGTGGAGATCGGCATGAACAAAATTATCTATGAGCAGCATGTGCAAGAATGCATCAAGGCCTTCATTGGCAATATCGTGTTGATATAAACCCCCTCCAATATCCAAGAAGGTGGCCAACGGGATGCCCTGGGCAAATTCCTCAACCAACACCTCACGGGTGGTGTATTCTAAGTATGGGTATGGGAACCAAGCAGTAGTGCGAGAATTGAATTTCTGGCGGAAGATCACGAGGTTGGCAGCTTCAATCCGCAGGTCCAGTTGTAGCTTCATCATTTCCCCAAACTGTTGTACTTCATCGGGGAAAGACAGCCAGTGCATCGTGGGGATGAAATTGATCATGTGAGCGAAGAATGACATGATCCGCAAGTCTCTATGTATCATTTGTTCAACCCTAGGGTGCTGCACCTTGATCGCGACATACGATGATGGCACCCGCTGCGGGGAACTCTTGACCAGTACGTCGACGTTTTTTCGAACCTTCTCGCCTAGCGTCGGTGGTTCGATACCCAATTCTGCTTCATTGGTTGCAGCAAGGCTCGGTTTCAATTTCGCCTTATAGACCTGTGCAATCGCTCCAACGCCCAGTGGTTCCTCCTGGAACTCTTCGAATATGTCCTCGAATGGCAATCCGTTGAATGCTTTGCGGATGATGCGCTTCGTTTGGTGAAGTGAATGAGCGGGGGCATTCGAGTGAAGTGACGACATTATGTTGCACATTTCCGGTGGGAAGATATCTGTTCGTGATGCAGCCCATTGGCCAAGCTATTCAAGAAGCCAACCTGTCAGTTTAGTCTTAATAGACAATTATTCGCCAATCATAAAATACCTTTATGAAAGCCGGACCAGCCCGCTCCATTGCCTCCACCAAAAACCGATACCACCACAATGTGCCAGACCGCGTGCCATCCCGGTCCTGTACTTTACGACCAAGCCAGATGGCGGGCACTGTCGCGACGACCGGAATGAATATGACGGCAAGGTGAACAAGGCGGATCCCTGTAGCAACAGGGTCATAGATATAACAATAAAAGTAGATCCATATTGTCTGGCAGAGCTTGGAGAGGCCATGCGCGTCGGGTGAAACTGTCTTCCGGACCTCTTCGCGCGAAACCTCCAGCATCTGCATTTCGGCAGTCTTGTCGTGGCCATCATTCTCTTCTGCCAGCTTCAAAAAGGCAGCTGGTGCCAGAGTGGCCATGAGCACCCCACCTATTACGGGTGCCCTTCGCGGGGTGCATTTTAGTAGTTGCCGAGGCCATGGCGGGCGATTGAAATGTTGTCGGGGGAGACGTGGGAGTCCACGTTTGAGACAGAAACGGCCCAAGAGACCGACCGCCCTCATGTTATCATGCAGGCATATAATATTAACATAGAATGAAGAAGTTAGTAGAAAAGTAAAGGTAGAGAGGTAAGAGGTAGCCTCGGGATAGAACTCCTGGTCAAGATTCTGGACGATAAACACGTGCTGCGACGTCATAGACAAACAAGACAAACAACTTATAAAATGTTAAGAAGCACATGCAACTTGTACAGTACAAAATATACGTTGTACATCAAGAGCTCTGTTTAGGTTATGGCTAATCCGAAGTCGTCGATGCCTGCATTCCACAACCACATTCCTCGTCCTTGGTCCGCTTGCAATCAACCATTGCCCAATATGGCAATATACACGGCAGATCCTAGCTCTTTGTCAAAGGAGGAACAGTTGAGCAGGTCAATCTTGTTTTATAGCGGTTTCTGTTAGTGACTGCTGGGACTTCCAAGTTCCGAAAACGGACCATCAAGCCTTATTCAAACGACCGGAAAGATGATCTTGCTCGACGTTAAATTAGGCCATGATGTCCATGGATTCACAATGCCATTTCCACTATTTTTGGCTCCTCCGACGACTGTTAGATGGCGCGGGAACTGTTAATCATGGGTCATACCCAGAACCCTCGCGATATTGAGTCCAACAATGAGAAAAAGCATTCGCACTGGCGCGATTGGGCCTTTGTCCTTCTGTGGGGCGTTACTGGCTATGCATGCATCATTTTTATCGTGTTAGCCTACTGCAACCCGGGGCTTATACCGTTTAATATCTCTTCGTTACTGTTTCGCAAGGAGATTTCTCCATTCTTCGCGTTCTCGCAAGGAACAGGTCATTACTCTAAGCCGCAAGGCTTCAAGATAGTGGCTCTAGTTCCCTTCCATTATCATGAGCGTACAGCAATCCTGGACTGCTATTTGCAGGTATTTACCGTCTCGCCCTTACTATATGGATTAATTCTAACACCATTCAAGAAAAACTTAGTCCACAATAATGGATTTCTTGATCAGGTCGTCTTTGTACCGCAGACTGATGACG